AGCTGCACGAGCCTATGGCACCAAAACCTACCAGAATGGACGGGGCATCTGGCTATATAAGCAGGCGTTCGCCACAGGATTCTCAGATTTCTTCTCCTTCAGCGACAACTACTACGTCTCTACACTGATCCGAAGCCTGCTCGCCGTTGACACACCTTCTCAGCTGGAATCGGGACCTCTCAGCATGGCTGACCTGCTTCTCAACCGCTTCAGCGACACAGCAGTTCTGGTCCTTTTCCCCTGCCGCCATCCGGCAATACTAAAAGAGCTTGGCGTTGTTGCAAATGCTGCGCCGTTACTGCGGTTCGTGCGGGTCTCCCCTGCACGCCGATGACGGCCACACGGAGTGCGTTTCCTGCTTGGGGAAATCCCATGCGGAAGCTGCACTCACGGGAACTGATTGTTCTCACTGCGAGAACTTCAGTCTCGCCTCTCTCTGCTCGCGGATCGCTTTCTTTTCAGAGAACGGCTCCACCCCTCGCGCCCTTCGTTTTCTTCCTCCCAGGGACCTGTGAGGAAAAAACAGCGGGGCAGAGGACTCGAGCGACCAGCTGCGAGCGAGCTCACATCGGCCCTGATCCCACGTGCCTCACCCTCGCCCCATAGAGAGAGTTCTCCCGTCCTTTTCTCCCAGTCTGATCAGCCGCCAAGCCCCTCGTCAGCGTTCCTCACCGTTCTTCCCGGAGGTCCATGACGAGCCCACCAGATCGTGGCGCGCTCCCTACTCCGCCCGCCTTCGTACTTCTACTTCATCCGCCCTCACTTCCATCAACGGCGCTGAAGAGAAGGGGTACGATAAGCTGCCTCCCCTGGATGAGTCGGTGGCCGCACACCTCTGCCCGCCCATGGCTATCGGTTGGAGAGCAAAGGCCGCTCACCCGTCCAAGCCATGTAGGACCACTTCAGCTCTCGCTGGACACGCCTACACTTCAGCTGGACAGGCGGCTTCGGCGCTTCATTCAATGGCAGTCCTCCAGGTCTTTCAAGCCAAGATCCTCGCTTCCTCTGACTAGTCTGGCCTGGACCCCGCGACCCTCAGGGAGCTGAGAAGCGCAACCGACCTGGCTCTGCGCGCCACCAAAGCCACCGCTCACCTTGTGGTGCTCGAGCGCCATTTATGGCTGATGTTAACAGAGATCAAGGACGCGGATAAAATCCCCTTCCTCGATGCTCCAATCTCTCGGTCGAAGGATTCGCCGAGCGCTTCACGGAGGCACAGAAATTGTCCAAAGCTATGCGACATTTCCTACCTAAGCGCTCCAGCTCCGCTGCTGCCTCTGCTCGCCCTTAGTATGCGCCGACTCAGCAACCCGCAAAGCCAGCACCTGCCGCCCCCGCCGTACAGCCCGCTAAGGCGCAGCAGACGTGGGGATGCTCTCGCTCGGCCAAACGCTACCCTCTTCCTAAGCGCCAGGGACCCGACCCAAGATTGCGTTGGACCCGGCGCCTCAGGCGTCCTCCTGATTGGCGAGACAGGAAGAGGATGGGGCCAGATCTCGCTACGGCCGGACCGCCCCCCAAGCAGCCTCTCTTAGACAGAGACCCTGTTCAACTCCGGGTACAGAGGGAAATGTGTTTTGTGCAAACAATGGGTCCGTTTATGCGCCCAAGCAATCAGCCGCTGTTATAGCGGGAAAAATAA